GAGATGCAATATGACTATCCATCCAGGGACTCAATATCTAATGCTGCTCGGGCCTAATTTCCAGATAACACAGTGATGGAGTGGGTTTCTGAAGTGTAAGTTGAAACAGCTTCCTCCAAGCAATTTCTAAGACTTAAAGATATTTAAGTAAAGCATTTCAAAGGAACTTAATATATGCTGTTATGTATTTACTCTCACTTGTTGACAAACTTGATAACTACTCCTTAGGCAGAACATAAATATGGTAAATACATATGCATATACATGATTGTCCACATCATTTCTATCAACTGTCACACAAAAACTAAAACAGTTTTGAGTGGTGTATTTGAGGATAACATGCTGTTTGAGCTTAATCTACCTACATGTATTTGACTCGTTATCCAACATGTTAACCTGCTGGCTTTTGACTTGTCCTAAATATTTCAACTATCCAAGACGAAAAACTTCTAAGATCATGTCTGATTTTTAAAACTGGTACGTAGCCAGAAAGCAAAAGTACATCTTAAGGAAGTATCTCAAAATGAAATATTTAACTTTTGGATCTGCAGAATTTTCTATCCTCCTTTGTGTTAAATCTCTGTATTTAATAGTCTTTTAGAACATATTGTCTCTGAATCTTATTGCTTCATTATTTCAAAAAGCAACCTTAAAAAAATCAGTCAATTCTTAACCCCTAAAAGAAGAAAGGAAACATTTACATATTTACCTACATGAGCCTAACAAATTCAGTTCTTCTCTACCATATGAAGAATATTAGAGGTGTCAGCAGTCTGGCATTAATCAAATGCACTTTCAGAACATTTGTTTTTGCAGGGAAGAGGAGCTTGCCATTTTAAGAACAGCACTGCCAGCCCTGTAAGCAGCTTACATATTTTGCTTACAGAAGCATCATCTTTTTTTAAAAAAATGACCTGAGAGGAAGCCAAAGATGATTTCATGATACATTTACAAAAGGTTTGCCTATTTTTTTCTTTTTAATGTCAGCATGAATGTATTTCAACCTTTAGAATCATTCCGATATCATTGTATCATCAATGCTGAACTAACTCCTGAAAGTAAGTCACACTAAAGTCAGTCACACTAAATTATATAATGCGTGTTTCTAAAAGAAGTCTACAGATGGCAGTGATTAAGTTTCCCATCGCATCATCCTGCTTTGAAATATTTTAATAAATCCAACAATTAGGAGATTCCAGGCCACATATGGCTAAGTTGTAGGGTACAAGTGACTCCTTGCAATAAAATGTTGTAGCTTGAGTGTTCCCACCGCTAGCCATTCCGCTAGCCATGTCGTATTTCTAGGGTTTTATTCTATTCTTTTTATTTTCTTTCCCTGCTCCCAAGCATCTAAACCAGCTTGTTCAACCTCAGTGAGCTACTTCCTTTTAAAAAAAAGATTATTTGTAGTTCTGAGAACAATGGTATTTCCCAAACCAACTGATACCACCCTCTTGCTCATGGATGCAGAAGAGATATAATTATATTATATATTATATTATAATTATATTAATTTATCATACTTCTTAATTACTCACCTCCCTTTGGACTCTGCTACAGAAGGACTGAAAGTTGAAGAAAGGCTTTACTGTTAGTGTACAGGGATGAGTAGCCTTTTGGTGGTCAGTCCTATTCTGGTAGCTTTACTACTTATACCACAAACAAGAGTCAGTGGCAGGCAGCGCAATGGTTGAGGACTGAACCTCACCAGTGTGACTTTGGGCTAGTTACTCTCTTTCATTTATATAGTTAGAGTTGTGGCAACCAAGGAAGTTAAAGGTTAATTTGATGTCATTTTCATATGCTTGATGAATTAGGTATTTTGCAAATGTCAAATGGCAGCTTTAGAAATGAGTCTGAAGCACAAGCATTTGTTTGCAGATCTGCCAGGTGGTTTCCCCCTTTTTAAAATGGTGTAGAGAAATATGTAGAAAGTAAGGCTACTAGTTTATGGTCACGACAATTATATTGTCTAAAACATCACAGCTAATACCAGGGGCTAGGAAACATACTTTTGTTATCCACTTTTGAATTTCTCCCTGACCATATGACAGTGTTTCTCAATCTTGGCAATGTGTGGACTTCAACTCCCAGTTGAATTCCCTGGCTGGAGGGAGTTGAAGTCACACATCTTAACGTTTCCAAGATTGAGAATCACATTCATCCAATGGGTTTTCAAATTAAGCATGCTAAAATCAGAGCAGTTTCTCTCTCTCTCTCTCTCTCTCTCTCTCTCTCTCTCTCTCTCTCTCTCTCTCTCACACACACACACACACATATAGAGTTTAAAGTTATTTCAACATGTAGAGGTGTGTAAAACATTTCAGATTTGACATGTATGAGGGCAATTCAGAAATAAACGTCTGTTTGGTTATCGATGACAGACACTCGCAGATACAGAACTTTTATTATTAGAAAACTACAACATTACATTACTTTTTGACATAATCGCCATTCAAATTGAGGCACTTGTCATAATGTCTTACAAGGATTGAAATTCCTTAGTAATAGTCACTCGGTGCCAAATCTAGGCTATAGGGGGTGATCAAAAACATCTCAATGGAACTGCTTCAAAAGTTCTTGGGTGTGTCTAGCAGTGTGCGGGCGAGCATTAGAATAGAGCTAGAAGGGACCTTGAAGGTCTTCTAGTCCAGCCCCCTGCTCGAGCAGGAGAACCTATACCATTTCAGACAAGTGACTGTCTAGTCTCTTCTTAAAAACCTCCAGTGCTGGAGCACCCACGATTTCTGAAGACAAGCTGTTCCACTGGTTAACTGTCCTCACTGTTAGGAAGTTTCTCCTTAATTCCAGGTTTATTCTTTGGTCGGTTTCCAACCATTGTTTCTTGTCCTGCCCTCTGCTGCTTTGGAGAATAATTTGACCCCTCTTCTTTGTGGCAACCCCTCAAATACTGGAATACTGCTATCATGTCACCACTGTTTCTTCTTTTCTTTAGACTAGCCAAACCCAAGTGCTGCAGCCATTCTTCACATGTTTTAGTCTCCAGGTTGTTGATCATTTTAGTTGCTCTTCTCTGAACTTTTTCTAAGGTCTCACCATCTTTTTTATAGTAGGGTGACCAAAATTGGTTGCAGTATTCCAGGTGTGGTCTCACTAGGGTTTTATAAAACAGTACTAATACTTCGCCTCTGTTTATACAACCAGGATTGTATTAGCTTTTTTAGATACTGCCGCACACTGCTGGCTCATAGTCAAGTGATCATCCACTAGGTCCCTCTCACAGTTGCTATTTTTGAGCCAGGTCTCACCCAATTTGTACATGTACCTTTGATTTTTCCTGCCTAAATGTAAATGCCTAAATGCCTTTCCTGCCTAAATGCTTTTCTCCACATTAAAACTCATTTTGTTGGATAGGGCCCATTGTTCAAGTTTGTCAAGATCTTTTTGGTTTGTGAGCTTATCTTCTGGTTAGTGGCTACTTCTGCCAGTTTAGTGACATCTGCAAATCTGATAGGCTCACCTTCTATTCTGTCATCTAAGTCATTAATGAAGATATTATCTTATATTATTATTATTAATTATCGTGAGCCAACACCACACTGGACGTCAGCATGCCCCGATAGCTCATCTTGAGTTTTTGTAATGTTTCACAGTAACTTCTGAATTGATGGTCGAACCATGCTCCATGAACTTCACTAGCAGTACTTCTTTGGCATCTTCACATTTGGTGGGATTTTCTATGGCACCACTTCGGGTGTGGTGTTGGTTTACAATGCTCACCCACACACTGCTAGAGGCACCCAAGAACTTTTGAAGCAGTTCCATTGGGATGTTTTTGATCACCCCCTATAGCCCAGATTTGGCACCAAGTGACTACTACTAAGGTAATTCAAACCTTGTAAGACATTATGACAAGTGCCTCAATTTGAATGGCGATTATGTCAAAAAGTAACGTAATGTTGTAGTTTTCTAATGTGTATAATAAAAGTTCTGTATCTGCGAGTGTCTGTCATTGATAACCAAATGGAGGTTTATTTCCAAATTGCCCTCATATTTAGCTTGGAACATTTTCAGCATGGAGACACTATAGATGGAACAATCGGTTTTAAAACTCAAAATATTTCAAAGTGAAAATGTTCTGCGCCCCACTGAAAATTGAGTTTGAATTTCTGAAAAAGCAGCTCTTTCTCCCATTATCGTAGGACAACTGCATTTCAAAATTACTTTGCAACATTGCAGTGTGGAAAAAAAAGTGCCAAAACATTCCAAGTGGACTTGATTCTAGCTTTAACTATTCCAAGAACCAACTGCCTTTAGCTCTGTTTTTTATTTATTTTGCTTCTTGGCTTTTAAGTATTCTTGTTATTATTATGAAGGTTGTAAAACATCCTCCCATTCACCACACATATCTCTTGTAAATTAGGCTCATCCAGGAGGAAGAATAGTACAAACAATTGCAGTATAATTATGCAATCACAAGATGCATAGTACACATTGCAAAGACACTCATTCCTGAATAAATGTAATTAATATAATATATATTGATGACAAGTGATTTTTGATGAATTGTCTGAAGTAAGGCAAAATAATAAAGGTAGTACTCGACTTACAATCATTTGTTATAAAGGAATGAAAAAAGTGACTTATGACCATTTTTCAAATTTATGACCATTGCGGCATTCCCTTGGTCATGTGATCAAAATTTGGATGCTTGGCAACTGGCATGTCTTTATGACAGTTGCAGTCTCAGGGTCATGTGATCACCTTTTATGACCCTGTGACAAGCAAGTGAATAAGCAAATCTGATTCACTTAACAAATGTGCTACTAACTTAACTGCAGTGATTTACTGTGGCAACTGTGGCAAGAAAGGTTGTAAAATGGAGCAAAACTCAAGTTACAACTATCTTGAAATTTTTGGCTTATTTATGGTTCTAAGTTGAGGACTACCCTTATATGGATCTGCTGGGAAATAGTTAACTTGCTGCCATTTATCATGCAATGTAGACAAAGAAAACAATCACAAAATTGATTTTATTGAAATAAAATCATACAGATAATCAATTTCAAGTAACTGAAATATATAGACAGGTCCTGGCATGTACTACAACTTTTTCAACATGAGAAAGACTATTTGATATCATTTGAAATACAGAAATAAAAAATGAAGAATTGAAATACACTATATAAAATTATCAATATCCAATTTTATGTATTTTTGCAGACATTGTCACTCCACATAGTAGTAAGAAACAATACTATTTTGCTATATCATGGCATTCTTCATTATTGATCTTTCATCAAGGCTCTTCTGGCAATTTTTTCAAAATCCAAGATCGCAGTTTTTCTAGCTCACTTTTGCTTAGTTCATGATAAAGGTTTGGTAGACTAAAAAATGTAGTTATTACTCCCAGAGCTTTTAAAGTCTTGTTGGTTTCTTCTCCCCAAGAATACAGAACCAGTTCATCAGCAGTTCCATGACACTGAAACAACTCTGGGAGTTCTCTTTCATTCTTCTCCAGGGCCTAGGAGCAGAAGAGACATCTGCTATGTTAACAATCTTAAATCATGTACATTGTTAACAAAAAGAAAATAGATGTCCAGACTAGTGTCTGAATTCATTATCTTTCCCATTTAAAAGTCAGACAACTGGACAATAAGGCAGTATACAAGTTTTATGCAATGAAAATAGTATGAACAGAAATGTACTATCTGGCTCTGCCACCTGAAATAATTATTATACATGTAGGATGAAGGTCTGCATTGGAAGGCCTCTTATAACCAAGTAGGTTTTCTATATGCAACATTCATATTGCATGATCACAGCTCTAAATCAGGCAAGACTCTATAAAACTGCAGCAGACTCCTTATTACAAACCTGTTTTCCAACCCACAAGAACAAGCATGTGATATACTCAGCTAGCAAGTTCCTGTTCTCTTGTGCATGGTATGAAGCTATGAGCGCTTGAATCAGTAGTGTTAATGAGTTTTCAAAGAACCAGACAAAGCAATTTATTAGGCTCTGTTCCTTGGGATGCCTCAAATGGAAATGCCCCAAAACAAAGGCACTTTGCCTCTAAGCTATAGTTTCTTCAACTGCAGTCACTTTGCCTTGAGCTAAAGCTTTTCACCAAATCTCTGCTGAAGAAAAACATACTCTGGAATTATGTAACTCCATTAATGGAAAGAACCCTATTACCCTTGCCCTAGTACAGTGGTTCTCAACCTGTGGGTCGGGACCCCATTTGGGGTCGATCGACCATTTCACGGGGGTCGCCAAGCAAGGTTGTCTGCCATTTTTTTGTCCGCCATTTTTTTCCCCTTTTCCGGTGGGTGCCTTACCTCCCTTGGGCTGGGCCAGCTGGTGGTCAGCCTGCTCCGTCTCTGCCGCTTGCCAGCTACGCCTCGGCCGGCGCAGGGGGCGGAACCACGCATGCGCGGCGCTCCCGGACAGGGAAAGTCCTCGACTTACGACCGGTTGGGTAGTCCTCGACTTACGACCGGTTTGGTCCTCGACTTACGACCGGTTTAGTCCTCGACTTACGACCGGTTGGGGTCGTGGCATTGAAAAGGTTGAGAACCACTGCCCTAGTACGTGGCACAATATTACAGCCATCATTTACTTGTGGCTGACTTACTACTGTTCCTGTTCTTAACCTATTTGCTCAAGGATACAAAGAAGGAGACAAATTATATAATCAAGGCAGATTTTTACAAGGTTATAAGATTTTAATGAACTTTATTTCTTTTGAGTAATTTGGATTCCATAGAAAAATATAGCATTGGGCAATCCATGTGTGGACAATCCATAAATTTTACAAAATGAAAAGTGTGGTAGACTTCTTGTGCATAGTTTAAGTCTTACAGATAAACCCTCATATGCTCCCCCAATTGTTTATTTGGTTTGTATCTTGCCAATTTGATACAAGAAGACATTCAACAAAAACATTTCAGTAGATGAAAGAACTACAATGTCGGCTGGCGACCCCCAGGGGGAGGGCCTTCTCTGTGGGTGCCCCCACCCTCTGGAACGAACTACTCCCCGAGATCCGGATGATTCCGGATCTCCTTACTTTCCGCCGCACCCTCAAGACATGGCTTTTTCAGCAAGCGGGCCTGGCCTAGGGAGGATTTTAAACCGGGTTTTTTAAGAATAATTTTAACTGCACAACTTTAAATATTGGTTTAATTTGGTTTTATCTGGTGGGGGTTGTAAACATGTCTATGTTTTTAAATATGNAAATACTTCATAATGAATTTTACAGTCTATTGGTCTGCCAATTCTGGAATAATTTTATGAACACAAGGTAGAACTGAGGATTTTTTAAAAGCTAGTGAGCATCTACCTGGTAAACAGCTGAATTCTTATTGAGAAAACTTGAAAGTGCAAATACTCCAGCCACCTCTTGGTGATGTCTGTAAGCCAAATGCAAAGCCATGCCTCCACCCATTGAAAAACCACCTGTGATGTATTTTAAAGACAAGAAAAAGAGATTAAAACTTTAAATACTTAGAAGATTTCAGAACTCTTTTCTTTTGTGCTGCATTTACTGTATATTTTAAATAAGAGTTTTTCCTCCCTAAAATAATTACTAGTGAGGACAGAATCTTAGATTCTCTGATCACAAGGTATATTAAAAAAATAAGCAATGATTAGGAGATACAAATAATACAGCAAATGACTGAAAAGCAAGCAGGAGTCTTGTTGTTAAATTTGTCATTTGACTGACAAATGGTTAACTTTCCTAAACAACACCTTTTATAAATTTACAATTCTTTTGATGATTTAACTTTGCTTTAAGACGATAAGATGTATTTCATATTTCTTAAGACCTAAGATAATTGATTTTGCGGTAAACTCCAAATCTCTGTTTCAGGTTTCTTACATCCTTGCCATATTTATTTTAGTACCTTTTAAAATTGTTCATAAAATGAATTATTGGTTTAGCCTTTATAAAACTAATATATATATATTTATTTATTTATTTATTTTATTAAATTTATATCCCGCCCTTCTCCTTGCGGACTCAGGGCGGCTAACAATCAAGTAAAAATACACAGATAACATTACAAGATTAAAAATTAATTAAAAAGGAAATATTTAACTGTGATCTAATTAAAATATAATTAAAACCCCCTCTAAAAATTTCCCCTAGGCCAGTCCTGCAAGCTGGAATAACCATGTCTTATATTGAAAACTACATGATTTTCTGAGATAGCTAGTGGAGCTGATCCAAAAATGACCGCAAATACTTTATCTGGATCTTCTATAGCAATTACCTTTAAAAGTTTTAAAAATCTCATTAATTTCTTCTGGCTGAGGGATTGATGGTTCTTTAGATGTCCCTGTGAATGGCTTGTGAGCAGGGATAGCACTGTGATGGAAATGCTAGTCAGGAACCAGTTACTGGCTGATAAAAATCTTCCCAGAGAAAAGGAGAGATATGGTGATCACCCACTTATGCTCTGGAAGAGCTGCTCCTTGTGAGGAGATCACAGGAACTGGGCTTTTTTTTGTAGTTGATTATAGTTGATATGAATTTACAACCCAAGAGATATTCAAAATGGCAGGGAAGACAAAAGACTCTTGGTTAGCTACCTTTTTTTTACATTAAGAAGGGGAAAAAAGCTATCCTAAAGGATTACAACTTTAAAACAGATTGTGATTCAAGAACATTTTGAAACGATAAAAGGGTTAGCAATTTTAGAAACATTTGTGACCAGAAACTACTTATGGACTTTTGCATAAAAATTGAAAAATTGAACTTGTGAATTATGGCTTTGATTAGAAATGAGGCACAACATAATTTTGATACTTTCAAGAAAATTTCAAGAATATTTTGTTAAACAATTTTGTCAAAACTGTGGAAAGACAGTTATGATACCTTTCTGAAGCATAGCAACACTTTGTCTAGGATGGACCAAAATTTAGTTTTCTAGAACTATCTTAGGCTCTTACATCTTAGTTACTATTCCACCTCGCTAATGACTAAGCAGGAATTTTCTAACTCAGTGTCTGTGTTGGACTGCAGAATATATTATCCACAGCATGTTGTGCTACCTGGTAATGGTGAGATTTGTAATTCAACTAATTCTGGAGTACCCCAGGGTGGGAAAGATAGTATTAATGGGACTAAGAAAATTTTGGCTTTCTCTTTTCCATTTTTCATCTTGTATCATATCTATTACACTATAAGGCTTCAGGCATATAAGATACTGTTTTCTTAAGAGCTTAGAAAACTTAAGGTATCTTAATATATTGGCATTCTTAAGCCTGCCTTGGCTCACAGGATGAGTTCTCCTACAAATGTTATATATTTCTCCTTACAAATCTTACCCAACAGTATCCTGTTTTTCCTGATGCCATTTTTAACTTCATCATCAATCAAACTGTTAAGTGCTTGACACATCATATCAATGGTTTCAGTATGTTCTGGGCAATCATTAGAGATCTTGTATCTGTCAAACCACACATTGGACAAAGACCCCCTCATTGGTGTATATGGTCTGAAAGAAAGATGGATGAGAAATGCATGAAGACAAATTTCATACAAAAGTGTTTTGTGTTTTAGAATCATTCTCTTTGTACCTAGGAGACTGTGGTGTGTAAAACTGCTATTCAGTCATGGAGGTAAGACAAAACTACATCAAACATCTATGTTTGTTTAAACAAGATTGGCTCATTTTTTAAGGGTATGTATGTCTATAGAACATTAAGAGCAAATAGGCTGTTCATATGCAGGAACCTAACCTCATGTTTGCCATATACTCTCCTAAACTTGGTTGTGTGTATCTTTGCTTTAGAGCTTCTCTTAGCATAGATTAAAAAATATGGAATACAAAGAGCCTATATTTAGAGTAACTATTCTAATCCCTAAGTAAAGCAACAAACCTTTAAACTCAGAATGCAGCTTTCTCCCATCAGCCTTGCTTTACTCCTTATATCTTATAATTAACTGCAATTTATTCTACAAAGTTGTTGTGAGAGAAAACAAAGAATATAAAGCTAATGTGGGAAGACTGCAGCTGTTGCTATAAAGCATGTTGTTTAAAGTAGTAGTTACAAAAATCCATAATTAAAGAAACACTCCCATTCATAATTAGAGAAACACTTGATAGAATAGGGCACATTAATTATCTTAATAATTAATCTTAATAATATCTTGAGTTTCTTCCGTTATCAGTGTAACAGAGTCAACACCAGTAATTAATATTAAATGTATTAACAAACATTTTCTAAACTTTCAGAAAGTCAACACTGTACTCTTCACACAAATTCTTCACACAGCTTATATTCTACAATTATATAATACTAGATATCCACTAATAGAGGACAACCTATCAGTTTGAACAAAACAATGTTTTTTAAGGAATGAAGATATTTAAAAATAAACGGCTGTTTAAGAAAGACACTATTAATCCGTTAAAAAAAAGTCTGTCAGAAAGAAGGATGTGTAATTCCATTTCTTCCAAAATGAAGCTCTGGAACCTAGCCTCAGTCCCAGAACTGTCAATCCAGTTTAGTAGAAAAATAAACATATGTCAGATAAGGAATGATACATTCTGAATCTGAAGAATAATGTTAACGGGCAATAAGGAAGTCTCAGCAATGCAAAATACACTGCCCTCCTTTTTTTTAAAGTTAAAAGAGTTTTTCTTGTAAAACTGCTAGCAGTAAATTTAGGTAGACATGTCTGTAGGAATAATACCATCTCTTCTACATTAGAGAAACTTGGTTTACTTTTCCTGAAATTCAGTTTTGAAATAGATCAGTCCACTGGTGGTAGCTTCTGTTGGCTCTTGGCTTCCAGTTCACTGGCAATAGAAGGGTCGGCAAGGGTGCCAATTGCCATACTGGATAATAGCTGCACATACGCATGTTTTAAAAATTCATTTTTTGTCAACTCAGCTTCTTTGTTGTAATAAATGCTCCCCAGCTGAAGTTTCTTTTAATTCCATGAATATAATCCAAGAAAGCTAAGAAAAGTTTTAAGTGTCCTCAGTTTCAACATGGGAGATTTAACCACTTGGCTAGCTTTTATCCTTTTACAGTATATTCTACCCACTGAAGATGGATATATATGCTTAATTATTTTTCTGAATCTGAGCCTCTGGCTGTGCAAAAATATTTCTCAGGCACTATATTCAATACTGTGACATAGCCTTCCTCCCCAAACGTCAAATTTCCAAAGAAAGAAAATATTTGCTTAATCTAACAATGATTTTAATACTTATTCATAATCCATAAATTCATGTTCATTAGCATAACTACGTCTGGGCAAGGGGTCCGGATATACAGGTAGCCCTCAACTTACAACATTTATTTAATGACCTCTTGAAGTTACAACAGCAGTGATAAAAAGGACTTATGATTGTTTTTCACACTTACAGCCATCCTTATGGTCACATGATCAAAATTGAGATGCTTGGCAACTGGTTTATATTTATGATGGTTGCAGTGTCTTGGGGTCATGGGATCTCCTTTTGTGACCTCCTGACAAGCAAAATCAATGGGAAAGCCCAACTCACTTAACAACTGAGCTACTAAGTTAATAGCTGCAGTGATTCACTTAACAAAATGGGCAAAACTCACTTAACAAGTATTGGTTAGAAACAGAAATTTGAGTTCAATTGTAGACGAAGAGTCAAAAGTGAAACAAGTGAAAAGTAGTTCTGAAAATTTGAGGAATAAGAGCCATCGAAAACCTTCAGAATGAAGCAGGTCATAAAAGAGACTGCACTAGGGAATATTTTAATGAAGTTATTTCACTTGTGTGCAAAATGCAAATGCTGCAGTTAAAAACACCCCTCAGGACCAGGTTGCCCATGTTGAGAATAGCTCCCACTTTTCAGACACTGGAGGTAGATTTGAATAACTCTTATATTCAGATTAGGAAATCTTGTTATAGCATCATACTCTTTTATTCTTAAGGACTATTTGCCCTGGACATAACTTATGGATCAGCTTTTGAAGTTACTATCAATATTCTTTGTAATTGAAAAAAATACAATTATTAATCACATTATAGTGGTTTAATAAGAAACATATATTTCTTTTACTGTTCTACTTTTTTAAGTGTATGCATTCAGTAATGTTAACCAAGCATTAGACAGACTATCATTATTGACTTGGGGGTTTTTTGCCGTACCATTCCTGAAAATGAAATTCTAATGCTGTTTATCTGCACCTCCTTCAACATCATTGTTATTGATGGAATGGTATTCAGAAGTATCTGATGAAAAAGGTTCTAGCCATGTAATGTACAACAGAAAGACCTAGTATATCATTGATTAATGACTGATTCCCCTACCCCACCCCCAAACGAAATACACCACAGACACAGGCATAACTAGGTCAGAGGAAAAAGCAGGCAATGAAAAAATGTTTAGTTTGTTTATACAACTCTGCATGTGACTAAAAACACTCTCTTTGTTGATATGATGCAGTAAATTGAACCAGGCAACAGTTTGAACCAGGCAATAGTTGATCAAGCAGAACAAATACTACAGGGAAATTCTTAGATAAAATGTATAATTAAAGAAATTAAATAAGTAATAATTTTCTAGAGGGGGAAAACTGTTATCCTGAGATTTGATAAATGGACCAATATGTACAATGATTTTGTCAAAGGTATTAGTGAAACAATAAAAAATAAGGAAACTTTCTTTCTAAAAGAACAATTGATACATCAAGAACTATGCATAGCACTAAATCTTAATATATAGCCAAGGCAAAGCTGTAGCAAGTAGCCAAAATAATTTCAAATACTTAGAACATGACTTTGCACAGATAACCCTCCTTTCATATTAACCATTTTGCAGAAACTGCTTTGAAGAAAGCTTGGGGAATCAAATTAATTATACCACATGATATTTACACATATACAAAAGGGGTACAGGTTTAATTTCACGGTCATGGCTGTTGTCTTGCCTGTTTGGACTCCCTCGTTCATTGCCATGTAGAAATTTAGAAGAAACTGAATATAATTATAAAATGTTTCCTGTGCAGAGTTAGATGCATAACTTCAAAATTCATATGATTCTTTTATGTTCAATCTATTTTTAGTTGAAGAAAGCTAGCCAGGCAAACAAGATGGTTAGTACAATCTCTTAAACATGAGCCAGCAGTGTGCTGTAGCTGCCAAAAAAGCCAACACAGTGCTAGGCTGCATTAATAGAGGGACAGAATCAAGATCACGTGAAGTGTTAATACCACTTTACAAAGCCTTGGTAGGGCCACACTTGGAATACTGCATCCAGTTTTGATCACCACGATGTAAAAAAGACGTTGAGACTCTAGAAAGAGTACAAATATGATTAGGGGGCTGGAGGCTAAAACATATAAGGAACGGTTGCTGGAATGGGATATGTCTAGTTTAATGAAGAGAAGGACGAGGGGTGACATGACAGCAGTGTTCCAATATCTCAGGGGCTGCCACAAAGAAGAGGGAGTCAAGCTATTCTCTAAAGCACCTGAGGGCAGGACAAGAAGCAATGGATGGAAACTAACCAAAAAGAGAAGCAACCTAGAACCAAGGAGAAATTTCCTGACAGTTAGAACAATTAGTCAGTGGAAAAACCTGCCTCCAGAAGCTGTGAATGCTCCAACACTGGAAGTTTTTAAGAAGAGACTGGACACCATTTGTCTGAAATGGTATAGGGTCTCCTGCCTGAGCAAGGGGTTGGACTAGACAACCTCCAAGGTCCCTTCCAACTTTATTATTATTGTTGTTGTTGTTGTTGTTGTTGTTATTATTATTATTATTGTTGTTGTTGTTATTACTGTTGTTGTTGTATCAATGCCAAAAATACTGTCCAAATATCAGTTAATTGTACTTGAGCTCATTCAATGTCTAATAACTTCACCAGTATATACCTACTTGTTTGATACTGAGATCAACATTCTGTTTTTTTTATTAAAATGATTCTGAAAAATTTCTAAATAATTACTTTGCATGATTATGTATACTGTATTATAAAAATGAAGTCTATACTAAAGAACTGAATCATGAAGAATATATACTTGGGTTATTTTATATAGCAAGCAAGTATTTTTCCTAGAAATGATAGGTTTAGAAATATTTTGACTGGTGAATAAATTATGATTTTTTAAATAACTATGCTGGATCTTCTTAATGAATGATCAAACCAGTATTTAAATTGTTTACTTTTTGTATAATATTTTTTATTTAATCTTTATTTTATATATGTTTGACAATGGCTTTATAAAAACTATTCAATTTTTTTAAAAATAATGTATTTACATTAATTCCACCCTGATTGCTATAGAGCTCCATGCTGTGCAGAGGGTTGAAGAATAACAGGCATTAGATATCTTTACATCAGATCTCCACAAGCTGAAACCCTAGAGATCCAGCCAACTTTAAATGCAGACTGTATAGACTAAAAAATTAGTTTATTTCTAAAGAGTTTTTGTACTCCTTTTATAAAAAGTCAGAAGCAGTTTACAAAAGTCACACTATTATTCTATAAAAAAGAAGTCTAAA